GTGAGTGTGTATGTGTGTGTGCAGTGGTTAGCGTGCATGGTATCCAGGGTGATCCGGAGTCGAGTTGCGTGTGAACTCTGAGTCGAACGTGTAAGTGTGGGCGCCCAGCGCCATAGTCAACTGAAGTAAATTCGGATTTGAGTTGAGTTGCAAGCTACCATATCTCCGAGTTTGAGTTGGGTGCACAGCGCCAGGCTATTCTCATCTGTTGCATGCATGTTTGAGTGTGRATTTGCAAGACTGATTTCAGATTCAAGGCAAAGGATAAAAAGACTTTGGACGAATTTACGATGGTAGACGGCTTGCTATTTCTTGAGAAGGCAAGGAATAAAAGGTTGTGTGTTCCCAGTAGTGAAGTCGTTGCGTAGTTTATTTTTAGGAGAATACCACGATGCAACTGGTCATTTTGGCTACAAGAAGACATCAACGAACTTAGTACAAAGATTCTGGTGGCCGTCTATGATGCTAGATGCAAAACGCTATGTTGAAACTTGCCAGGTTTGCCAAAGAGACAAACCAAGGATTCAGGCTCCGCTTGGGTTGATCAAGCCCTTGCCGATTCCTGAAGGACCTGGTTAGAGTGTGTCTATGGACTTCATGGATACCCTTGTGACCAGTAAATCCGGAAAAAGGCATATCTTCATAATAGTGGACCGCTTTACTAAGTATGCAAGACTAATCGCTATGCCAGAAACAGCTAAAACCGACCACGTCATCATACTGTTTATGGATAATTGGGTACGTGATTTTGGTTTGCCTACATCTATTGTTAGTGATAGGGATGTGAGATTCACTAGTGAACTGTGGCAGTCTACTGCTGAACAGATGGGCACCAAACTCCAAATAACCTCAGGGAACCACCTTGAGTCAAATGGCCAAGCAGAACAGATGAACCGGGTAGTACAGCACCTGCTTCGGCATTATATTAAGCCAAGCCAGGATGACTGGGACGAGAAGTTACCTCTCGTCGCCAGCTTGTACAACAATGTTGTACATAGTACTACCGGTATGACTCCCAACTAGTTACATCTAGGTTGGAAGCCCTGAACTGCACTAGACTTTCTGCTACCAGAAAGACAACCCACTGCAGCACCTGGCAGCATAGACTTTGCTGTCAAGTATGAACAGATGCTGTAGCAGGCCATCGAGCATATTAGAAAGTCTCAGGATGCTATGATCGCTTCTGAGAATAAGCATAGACGGCCTTCTAACTTTCAGGTAGGTGATAGAGTCTGGGTAAAGTCAACTAGGTTAGGAGATGGGTATATCCAGAAAACTGATGCCACAGTACTTTGGGCCCTGGGAAATCTTGGATATTGTAGGGGATCAACCAGATGGGCCTTCGTACGTGATCCGTATTCCTGCACACTTACGGACCTACCCTGTGTTCCATGCCTCTCAAGTTAGCACCTTTTGCTGCTACTGAGCAGTTCCCTTCCAGAAGATCAATGCTGCCCCCAACCATGGATGGCGAAGTGGACATTGACCAGATCGTCGAGCATCGAGTGATGCCTGTTCCTCGACCATCAGGCAGAGGGCGACCTCCTAAACCGAGAATGCAGTATCGTGTGAGCTTCAGACATCATCTGGATCCAAAAGAAGACCGGTGGTTCACACGAGAAGAACTCGTGAGAACAACACCTCAAGTGATCGCAGGCTATGAAAGAGCACTCAAGGGGAAGATGCCTGCAGAATGAGAGACTTCTCAGAGGACTCATGAAGTTAAGGAGGAGGTCTTGCGAGGATCAGGGTCCTCGGTAGGCCTATGGGGCCCTGTTTGCAGCATTACCCGCCCTAAGTGAAGGCGGAGGTGGCCGCCCTAAGTGAAGGCGGGCCTGGCTTTTTGCAAGAGGCCCTCGACTGTCAATTTCATATTTGGGGTCCAGGCAGTTGCGACGCGCCAGTTGGTTGAAAGAAACACAGGCCGAGCAACAAAGACATTTGCACGGCCCTCCGGGCCTTTCCAAAGAATGCAGGCCCTGGGCGTGATTCGCAGCCTCATATAGAGACAGTTGGGCGCCCAACCGAACGAGGCCAGCAGCCGAGTAGCTGCTGTACGCAGGCAGCCTCCTGGGGCCTTCCGGAAGCTTCTGGGCCCAGGC